TCGAGTTTTGACTAATTACATGGGTAATTACTGGTAGTTAATTTGGTGAGGAGCTCCACGTTGTAAAAGCAAATAATGTTTAGGAAATAATTAAAGCGTCGGTCCGACGAGCCGCCCCGTCTCGGGTACGAGTTGTAAAATTTAGATTCTGACACCTGGTTTTACCTGAAGAACGCCGCAGAGGTGGAATGTTTCTGATTGCGTCTAAGGTGCCGTCGAAGAAAGGAGAAGAAGAGAGGAGAAGAAAGAGCGTGGACTCGTTGAGAGGCTTTGTTTCACTTGCCGCCAAGCAGTCTGAGGTCGTCTTTAAAAAGGTTGCCTCGCCGGGGCATCATCGTCGTCGGGCAAGCCAATGAGTTGTAAAAATGCAAATCGCATTGTTCGGACGGAATTATTTTTTTATGGGCATTAAGTGTGGAATAATCCGAAATTTGACCTTTGTCCGTCCGGACGGGATGACAAATAAATTTTTTGAATACGACCGGAGGCCCTTCTTGCAGATACTTGTCTCCTTCTAGGCGGACAAAACTATAAAAACATTATTGTTATCCACCTTGGCTTATATCCATTCTTAGAACCCAACCGGCGGAGTTTATTACTTCGCCCATTATTTTCGGCACATTCTACCGCAGATTAGATTAGATTAACGTCAACATTTTTTGATATATCTTCAACCGCAACGTATATTTGTCTGTCGGGAGAGTAACGCGCTATTGTTCCCAAGAACATAAACACCAACAATGCTACAATTTGACCAACGTACTTCTTAAACAAAATACCTTTCGCCACTTATCCGGTCTTTGTTACCACTTACTCCACGTAATCATTTCTGCTTAAACTAAACAATTCATTTAAATATCCAAATTCAACAATACGAAATTAACAGAAACAAAGTTTCAAATCTTGAAATCTATCCAACAGGTCTAGCGTGAGATGTCAAACTTCTTACTACTTTAATTTCATTTTCAAACCAGACACAATTTACCACTTCCTTTCCTACACTTAACTTTATAATCAATTTTTGGGTTCGTTTCAAAAGTTATTTTTGAGAAATATTATAATTTATTCAGATCTCTGAGGATGGTTAAAACCCGAAACTTGTAAATTATTTAAACCAATAATTTTTAATAAGTAATTTAGCCGCCACTCCTTAGATGGCGTTCTAAGGCGTACAATATTTGTTCTGCTCAGTTGTCCATGATGTCGCTAAATTTATGGTTAGTGTGTGACCAAGAACATTCTTGAGCCAGCGCTATATATTTAAAAGTAGATCTATAATTTATTATGACGCCGTCTTATAAGCTGTCACTTACATAGAGAATTGTATAGTAAGGATTGGAAACAATTTTCTGCCGTTGCATAATAAAGCAAGCTAATTTACCCTCAAGAAATAGCTTGTTTTACTTTTATCAATATGTCATTCACGGCGTACCTCAATAATATCTGTGATTTAAAAATGTATGCATGCTTTTGGTTATTATATTAATATATTATGTACGGCTCTATCATTATTCATCAAAAAAACTAATATTTTCGTAATAATCAGAAAATTTTAACATACTTTGATGTATCACACACCATATCGGAGATAAAATTTGTTTTCTGCCATCTTGATTTTATAAAAATTAAGATACCTGGGTTGTTATAATACGTAGATATGTCGAGTTCGGATTTATTTTAAATGTTTTTTAACTATCTACCGTAATGTTTATGAATCATTTGATTTCGGTCATCTTGAATAACTAGCATTATGATTATGGCAAAATGTGGCAGAAATTATTGGTGAAATGGCAGAAAGGATTTCCATCGTATTCTGAATGTAATAATGCAGAGTTAGTGCATTGTAATTTCTATAGCCAGCGTTCTAGGTTAAATCAGAATTTATTAGTTATTATTATTGGAGGTATAAATGCTTTATGAGATAATAAAGATAATTTGTTAGAAATAACTTCGATGAGTTTGATAATAATAAGAAAAGAGGTTAGATTTAATGATTAAATTATAAAAGCCGGTGACGTATAGCATTTTTGTAGAAGAGTCCGAGGATGGAACGATCGTTTGGGTCTCGGCGTGTGGGGATACAATAAAAGGAGGTAGAAAGAGCGAAGCCGCCGTGGTTATTATGGCGCTGGTCTAAATGTTCGATTATATGGGGGTCCAAGAAATTTGATCATATCAAAATGAGCGGCATCCAAAAGAGCCTTGCCGGTAGAAACGCCCACATCACACCTGGCTGCAACTCATCCGCGATCTCGGCGTAGATTTATAACCAATTCTCCTCAGCTCTCCTCTAATAACGAAGCAAAACCGGTCGGGCCCCCGGGGGCCATGCATAGCGCACTTGTCACCCCGCCGCCTCTGAAATTGATTCAAAATATTACGAATTAAATTTAACCGGATTTACCTCCACGAAAACTAACTCGACGCTTATTTATATCCCGATTATTTATACGCCTTTCCATATTTTTAAACTGACAATTCCAATGATATACGATCCGCGGAAATTGCATTGGCATTTCGTAACTGTTAATACCACAAGGAAATGTTTCACGTTGATGCATAAGAATGGTTTATATCTTACACTATCAAAACCACCTATAATTACAAATCAAAGAGAAAGAAAATTTATTATTTATGTTTCATCATTTTATTCTTACGTCCACACAAATGAGACCCTAAAAGATTTTCGATCTTGTTGATTATCGTTGTTACGTGAAAGGCCGCCTATCCCAAAGTGGGAAATAAAGCGTTACATTCGGCAGAACTTAGTTTGCCTTTGATCTGGACTAATCGCGCTTCAAATCATTTCTCCCTTCAACATGACTGATTGTCCCGCGACGTCTAATAGAGACGAAATGATGACCAACCTAACGACTGGTGGAATTGTCTTCTTAGAAAATGCCTGCACGCATTACCAACCAAATAATTCTCCAAACCGTTTCTTAATTAAAAAACAATCACCAACAATATTCGAATTATATTTATTTAATATAATTCTTAATATAGGGATTTGTAGTGGTTTAAGAGGTTGAGGCAGACGGCTTGTCTGGTCTTCTGGTCGGTCTTGACCTGCGTTCCCAACACCTATAAACCGACCAGATAAAGGTCGCCCTCAACGCTCAAAAACTGAACGTAACCCTCTACTTCCACCAGACTTACAGACGCCATTATACGCAGACGGTTTGTCTCGCAGCGCGTCATCAATTTCCATTAAATTTTTAACCGAGGTATTTCAATTTTGAAGTAGAAAATAAAACTTAGTATAAGTTGTTTGTATAATATATAGTGCGAGCATAAAAGATGAAGACGCAAAAAAAGATGGGTTAAAAAAAAAAATGATGTTGCAACATCAGGCTGTGTAGAGGTTGTATAGAGTAGATTGCGTGCATTTTCACACGTTTTAAGGTAACAATGGCTAGACCACCTTCGACGTGGAAATTAAATAAATTCCGGGTTTTCGGAATGGGCCTTAATTAATTGCGGCAGAAAACGGTTTTGTGAGAGCCGAAAGCGTACGTCAGGTGCCGGTCGGGACAGAAAACTAAAACGAGAACGAGAAGCAAATCGGCCATTGTTGAAAAGAGAGAACGTTTCGGAGGGAAAAGAAGCGGCGTAGCGCAAATAAATACCAAGTTGATTTATGGTTACCGAAGGTAATTACTTAATATAAATTATTTATGGGCTAGATTGTTTAAATAAATGTTTATACTAGCAACGCAAACAATAGGTAACGATATATTGGTTGCTAATGAAATAACGAGTAGGTGCCCGCAATAAGCAATAAACGCTCGGGAGTATGATTTACAAGCTTTTGGTCTTACCGTATTAGCTCTTACAACCACACTTTTATTAATTTTAAGCACTTTACTGTCGCTTTACTTTTTATCTCTTTCCTCCGTATTATCAAATGATTGTTTTCCGTGTTGAAGTAATTTAAATTAAGGCTGCGGTAAATTTATAGAATAAAGGCGAGTTTACGGCAAAACCACAGGCTCGCAAAGATTTCGTTTCTTTATTACTGCAATATCGTAAATCTTCGGTATTGTTTTTACCGTTTTCTTCTTTCCCCGACCATCGCTCTGTCGTTACTTAATTACTTCAGCTTCAAAGCGGGACGGATAAACGAGCATTAGAACGAATCAGAGTCTGACGGCCCGACGATGACCGCCAGAAGAGAGAAAAATAAAATAACAAAAACCCACATACAAAAAAGCCTTAATTAGCCATAATACGAACCTCGACAATCACATCGTAACTACACGTCAAATAAATCGCTTAATAACCATCTATTTAGCATCCAACTCTTACTTTTACTTGAACACCTTACATTACTCTCATCTTTTATTTTTCCTACCGAGATACACAAATTTGTCACGTATATGACAAGGTGAGCGAAAATTTATGCTCCACTCGTTATTATTTTTCTTATTACGTTTCACTCATTCTTTTTTAGATTTAATATTATTTAAATGCAAACATATGAAGGAAGTGTCCATTGGCCATAGTAAATGCGTTACAATTAATCAGCTCGTCAGTCAGGTCTGATGTAACCGCTGAATTCAAACTATAGCTATGCGTCAAAATGACAAGTCTCCTTTTTAGGGCCAGCCTGTGGCTCGGCACACCCTGTATAATGAAGCGAAGATGGCGAGGCCGGCAGCAGCACATTACGGTAATTATTTAAAGCGGCTTGCAAAAGTGTTATGGCACGTTCGTCGGCTAAGCAGAAAATTCCTCAATTAATTAAAGCCAGGTTGAGGTTATCGAATTTACTACGAAAATTGACGACGCTATACCAACCTGATTATTCGAGGAAAACGAAATAATAATAATAATATTGATCAAGTATTAAATTTACAGTCTTTTTTTTCAAACTTAAAAATATAATCAAAATATCATATATAATTGTGTATTGCAATTGAATCGAAATTAGTTGAACAATTTTTGTTTGTTTTTCATTTGGTTATTTATTATTATTTATTATCAATACAAAAGTGAGATGACTGTTTGGAATAAACTTTATTAACGAGTACTGTAAGTACATGACATACACAATAGATACACGATAACAGTTACTAACCATTCACACGTTGAGGGCATCCCCTGAAGAACAAGATGAGGTGTCCACGGGATCCTCGCGTTTCGGGGCTAGGAAACTAATCGGGGGTAAACTTTTCACGAGCTGTCTGTCGCACTCGCCTTCGTTTTCAAAGTCTAAACCGGTGGGGAGCACGTGTAACGGGTTTGGGGCCGATAGGGGATATTGCACGGGAATTGGCACTGGATGATACGCATTCGGGAACACTCCGGGCACGATGGGGTGTGGTTTAACAACACCTGGATTTAAATTCGCGACACTTGCACTATTCATAGACATTAAAGCTGCGGCATATTCGAAAAGCGCCGCTTGTTGAGCTGCTAAGAACTCGTCCCGATTAAGATCCTCTAATCTGGGAGCTGCAGGTGGTAAAATACCTGGCCAGGAAAACCTTGGTAAAGATTGCAGTGCGCATCCGGTTGTAGGTATCATGGGCGTCGGATGAGCCGGAGCTGGTTTCGTATCGGAAATTAAACTATCGATGCTGAAGGATTTGATGGCCGTTGAAGTAGTTTGAGCGACGGATACCAACGGTAACGTTGTTGCGGACACTTCGGGAATCCTTGGAACGTGTGTGGACGAACTCGGAGCGGCAAAGGAACTATTTTGGAGCTTGCTCAAACTATCTAATTCCTCGTGGACATGTTTTGGAAGCTTAAATCGTTTTCGTCTCCTCAGAAAGCTACCGTTTTCAAACATGTCCAAAGCGGAAGGATGTAATGCCCAAAAGGCACCTTTTCCAGGCCGATCAGGTCTCCTTGGAATCTTTATGAAGCAATCGTTAAACGAAAGATTGTGTCTCAACGAGTTTTGCCACCTCTGGGTGTTCCGACGGTAGTAAGGAAATCTATCTGTTATGAACCGATAAATCTCTGACAACGGCAACATCTTCTCCGGCGAGCTCCATATCGCCATTGCTGTGAGGGAAATGTAAGAGTACGGTGGCTTTTGATCCCCGTAGGTTTCTCTCGAAGGCCGAGGCATATCTATTAAAAAAAAACATTACATTTAAAATATTTTTTATATTTTATTAATTTATTTTATTAATTTATTTTATCAATTTATTTTAAGAATTTATTTCATCAATTTATTTTTCAACTCCCCCTAATACTAAAACCATGACAACAAAAATTGCCGATTGATCAAACAACCGTTCCGTGACGGGAACGGGAACGGATTCAATTTTGCGATTTCGGTTTTCCCGACAGTAAATTCGATTAAAAGCAAACCTATGTATTCAATGTTTTACGGCGGCAAAACAGAGGGACGATTTGGGTCGTTTATCAAAACAGCTTCGCTGGTTAATTAGAACGATAACAAAACCCATTTCACTTAACGACATTTTCAACGTTTCCTTTACTACCAATAGGTCCATTATCAACCGAACTAGCTGATGACTATTTTCTTTTTTTGTTGATTAAATTCTCAATAAGTAGTTTTCCCAGCGCAAACACAATGACGGTGTATTAAACAGCATTTTTCTCTTAACTTTTAGTTAGTAGTTAATGATCTTCTAATGGTCGTTTGTGAAAGGAACAATTTTCTTGCAGCAAAAGCAATGATTATTATCACGGATTTGCTCTATTTATACCATCAATTTAGAATAGCTTTAATTGTTTCAGCTACTACGACCAAACGAAACCAAACCAAACCAATATATTGATTATTATTATTATTTCATTATTAATAATAACTCACCTTCCATGCTGCATACGTTTACAGTACAATTATTTATTAGTAACTGGATAAGTAACTTGAGTTATAATGTGATGTTGATATGGACAACACGCTTGGCACACTAACAATTCTAATCGCTGGTTTATTCGGTTATTGATGAGGTCAATTTCCTTCTCAATGTACATGTGTAATCACCTAATTAGTCATTACTTTGATATACCTATAGTTCGGTAGTCAATCATTGTTATTGTTTATTAAAAAATGTTAATTGTGATAAAATTACTGTTTTTAGAATTATTCTTGGAAGTTGTGGCATGTTGAGTCTAAGTAAAGAAAACGTCGGATGTTTCAATAAAGCCTTTACTGGTCCTTTTTATGAATTCAATGTCCAGTAAAGAATCGGTAAGTGCAAGATTAGGAATTTTATTGTATACTTACTTTGCTATGGTCGAACTTTATCGCAGCATATCGCGTCTGGTTGACATCTCCCTCCGGCGTTATCACTAAAAAAGGTAAAATGATCACCACAAGTACCCAGATCACATCACCGAGAATATAAGCGGAATTTTTCCTCAAAATCCGGGCACTTATCGAGTTGACTTGGTGGTTGTTCCGTTGTCGGCAACCTTTGTAGTAGAACTTAACAAATCGGTTTATCTCTGCGGGGATAAGGTTTAAAATCAGTTTGCAGCAGCGCGGATATTATGGTCAACCCGAAACCACAACCTCCGCGTGCTTATTGGGACAAAACTGCACCCTTGCCGTCTGGGCGTGAACGCGGATACCATGGAGGCGGTACTACCATTTCTGCCTCCATTTTGTTTCGAACCCCCTTCTCTCTCCATACCTCCCACCGGCTCGTTCCACCGCATAACTCATTTCTTATTATAAAAGCCTCGTTACTTCTTCGTGGTCATTATTAATATTGATAACTGGTTCATTCCAACTGGTCGCTATTTTCATTAATTAAATTTACTATGGACGTCTCCAGGATGTCTTTAATATTTATCTTCCATTCCTATAACAATTCCTATTTTATTATTAAAATCTTTTTACTACTTCTTTTGATACTCTAATTTAAAAAAAAATTAATTTTGTGACACAATTTTTAAATTTAAATTTTATCTCCATACTTGCGATCACACCACCATCTTTAATCCATTCATGAAACTAAAAACAAACACTTATAATATATACCCATAGATGGGGCTATCAATCTCCCCAAGCAATATAGAGGTGGCGCTATGTGCCTTAAAAATAATAAAAACAGGTCATCACAAAAACTGTTAGGTTATGTTCAACGTTATTGTGTTTTTTTAGTAAAATGTCTTTGGTAGCTTACGATAATAGTGATTCCGACGGCGAAGAATCAGAACATGAAGTTCGAGAAAACGGAAAAGTTATTATCCCAGAGAAAGGTATCTTTTTAAACATATTAGAACAAAAATTATCTGCTTTAACATTGACGTAATATGATTCAGGTTTATTTACGAGTTTACCACAGCCAAACGTACAAAATAATACAGATGAAGTTACAGAAGAGGAGGACGAGTTCTTAAAAAAGAAGGAAGTTGGAATGGATAAACCACCCAAACAAAAAATCAAGATCACTGTACCATTACCATCAGATTTTTCCGATGAAGAGGATGAAGGTGGAAATTTGAAAAAGAAACAAAAAACTTTATCAGTAAAATCTTCATATTAATCTTTATATTAATTCTCATTTAGAATATTGATATTTTGCAGTTTACAAAAACATTTTATTAACTAATTAGGATTTATTTTAGAGTCTAAAGGAAGCATGAGCCAAGCGACTACAATATTAACACATAGATATTCATAAAGATACTACATTCAATATACAGCCTTCAAGAGATAATAGCCAAGGTCGCTTGCGGCCGAGGCATCACAATATGTGTTAAGAAGATATTTATAAAAGTACTAGATTCAATATACAGCGTTAAAGAGATAAAAGCCGAGGTCGCTTGCGGCCGAGGCATCACAATATGTGTTCAAGAGATATTAATAAAGCTACTATATTCCATATACAGCGTTAAAGAGATAAAAGCCGAGGTTGCTTGCGGCCGAGGCATCACAATATGTGTTAAAAAGATAAACATAAAGGTATTACATTCAATATACAGCGTTGAAGAGATGAAAGCCGAGGTCGCTTGCGGCCGAGGCATCACAATGTGTTCAAGAGATATTAATAAAGCTACTATATTCCATATACAGCGTTAAAGAGATAAAAGCCGAGGTCGCTTGCGGCCGAGGCATCACAATATGTGTTCAAGAAATATTAATAAAGCTACTATATTCCAAATATAACGTTAAAGAGATAAAAGCCGAGTCGCTTGCGGCCGAGGCATCACAATATGTGTTAAAAAGATATTCATAAAGGTACTACATTCAATATACAGAATTGAAGAGATAAAAGCCGAGCTCGCTTGCGGACGAGGCATCACAATATGTGTTAAAAAGATATTCATAAAAGTACTACATTCAGTATACAGCGTTGAAGACATAAAAGCCGAGGTCGCTTGCGGACGAGGCATCACAATATGTGTTAAAAAGATATTCAAAAATGTACTACAGAGATAAAAGCCGAAGCTGCTTGTGACTAAGGCATTAGAGTGCGAATTTTCGATACAATGTTGTACTACAACGTCTCAGGCGGAAGCTTAATGACCTGATATCGTGTGTTTTCCATCTTAGTTAAATCAACATTGCTTCAGACCGACGCGCTGCAGTTAACACCACATTAATACACTATTGAGAAACATAAATCTCGACCACAGGCTGCAGTGGTGTGTTTGGTAACATATATGTATGATTGAACCCAACTGGAGTTAATAAAGAAAATGTATGATGTTGCATGATTAACCTAAACCTCTATAATATATGTTGTACAATCTCAACTGTCCTACTCACTGTAAAATGCCATCCCAGCCTTGACGTTAATAAATACAAAAGTGTTGTGTATACTGCAGATATAGTTAATACCGAAATTTTCACTTATACTCTGAATGAGAATGTATTAAAAGTAATAATTCTTCTTACAAATGTACAACGTTGAAGAGATAAAAGCCGAGGTCGCTTGCGGCCGCGGCATCACGATATGTGTTAAAAAGATATTCATAAAGGTACTATATTCAATTTACAGAGTTGAAGAGATAAAAGCCGAGATCGCTTACGGCCAAGGCATCACAATATGTGTTAAAAAGATATTCATAAAAGTACTGCATTCAATATACAGCGTTGAAGAGATAAAAACCGAGGGCGCTTGCGGCCGTGGCATCATAATATGAGTTAAAAAGATATTCATAAAAGTACTACATTCAATATACAGCGTTGAAGAAATAAAAGCCGAAGCTGCTTGTGGCTAAGGCATTAGAGTGCGAATTTTCCATACAATGTTGTACTACAACGTCTCAGGCGCAAGCTTACTGACCTGATATCGTGTATTTTCCACCTTAGTTAAATCAACATTGTTTCAGACCGACGCGCTGCAGTTAAGACCACATTAATACACTAGTGAAAAACATAAATCTCAGCCACAGGCTGCCTTGGTGTGTTTGGTAACATAAATGTATGATTGAACTCAACTAGAGTTAAAAAAGAAAATGTATGATTTTGCATGATTAACCTAAACCTCTATAATATATGTTGTACAATCTCAACTCTCCTACTCACTGTAAAATGCCATCCCAGCCTTGATGTTAACAAATACAAAAGTGTTTTGTATACTGCAATTTTTAGGATATAGTTAATCCAGTTAATACCGAAATTTTCACTTACACTCTAAATGAGGATGTATTAAAATTAATAATTCCTCTTACAAAATGTATAGTAAATATCTTTTTTTACAGAAATCATCAGGATTGTTTGCAATATTACCTCCACCAAAAACACAACCAATAACAACAAAACATTTTGTACCAAATTCAGTAAAACGGAACCTAACACCAAAAAATGCAACCCAAAACATTAAAAATCCAAAAATAAATAAAGCACCACCAACTAAACCAAAAAAAGAAATTGTACCCGAAGAACTTGAAAGTGATGATGAAGATCTTAAAGATATCCCAGATACATTTGATGAGGAAACATGGCAAAAAGTTTGTGGGAAAGTTAAAAAGCCAATTAAACCGATTATTGAAGTTGTGTCAGAACCTGGTAATGAGGCGGTTATTGAAATTGCACCTGAACCAGTAAAATCTTATCAAGGATTGGATAATAAAGCTGTAAATGATTTTTTTTAATATTTTATTATTTAAATTTTATTTCTTCAATTGCAGTTCAAAGAACTTATGGGGGCTAATCATAAAAGAAAAGGTCAACAACAAAATATCAATATTGTTGATATCAATGAAGAAGAAATACTACCTGATAAAGATGTTTGGATGACAAAGGCGTTAACCGATCCGGAACTTAGCGCTAAATATGTCGTGAAAGATCCTGTAAATGATACATGCAAAAGGAAACATCATATTACGTATTTAGCCCAACAGGTAATAAAAAAATATATCTAAGAAATTTTTAAACAAAAAATAACCTTTAAGATCTACTGATATATTTTAAAAGCCAATTAATCACCTTGGAAATATTGGTATTATATCGCGATGACCTTCGATTAGATAAACATTGTTTTACAGCTTTTTTATAAAGGTTTTAAAATTGTCGTGAATTGAAATTAAAATTTTTTTTAGGCGAAAGCCAACGAGCAAGAATTGCAGAATCAATGGGCTTCGAACAGATTTACTCGGCAGAAAACGCAGGCGAAATATGGATTTTGAGATATTAAATAATAAGATTAGTTAATAAAATTTTTAAATAAAATATTTATTTTTTATAATACTTACAACCTTTAATATCATTTCATTAGATAAATACAAAAATAGATCAGTCGAATACGATAATTAATATTAAATCTTATTATTTAAGCGAACATATTATTAGGTGGTAATCACATTTTTAAATTGATTCAAATGGTACGTACAAAAGTCGTCTTAGCACAATTAGTGGTAGGTGAGGTACAAATATAATGATAAATACAATAACTGGGCTGCAAATAATCAGGATTAGAGCGTAAAGGAATAACACCATCGACAGATTCAGTAAACAATGGTTGTAGATCAACTTTTCCATGTCTTTTTACCATCGCCACCTAAAAAATACAAGAAAAAACGGAAACGGATTATAAAGAAATGTCTCCCAATGCAAATTTGGTTTTATACTTGTATATAAATGGCATTTAAAGTCCATTTGGATGGCCTCTACCTGTTAAATATTATATTAGTTTTTTGAGGTGTGTGCGTGTGTTAAAAGAAACTAGTTGTGTGTAAATACCAGTTCTATAATTTCAAGGTCTAAATAGTCTTACTCACAATTATCCTTATGTTTGTAAATATCCAGAAAAAAAGACGCATTGTAGGGTTGAAATATATTTTGGGAGAAATGTTACATCTTCGTTTTATAAATGATTATAGAACTAGATATTTAAATGTTATCGTTTACCCGAGCTCACCACAGAAACATTAACGACGAAATACAGCGAACTTCGAATCTGGTATTACACGATACTTACATAATCCAAAAGTAGGTCTCACTTTCTTTTCCATTACTGCCGCTATTTTCCTTTTTGCCGCTCTCCCCGTTTGCAGCGGTCCGCTTTGACGACTCCGCCTCCTTTGCGCGTTCCAAATTGTGCAGAAGCTTATCTAAAACTTTAATCATCTCTCGAGAACCGGACCTTCTGGCCGAAAACCCTCCGATCGCGTTCTCTTTATTTTACTCCGAAATAAACACTATACCGTTAATATTGCGACTTTTAATTCAGTATGCAGTTCAGACTTCAAAGTACGAATTTCTCGAATCTTTCCGGACCTAATCGTCTTATAACAGATATCTGTCGTACTCGCTTATCGGCGTTTCGAGTGTCTGTGTTTAAGGAGATATCTGAATCCCAATTTTGTTCCATTCTATTCACAACTCACGACGATTTGCAATTTGACCTTCGAACTACTTTCTCTTGCTTCACAACATTTGTTTGGTTTTGTCTATATTTAGTAAATGTTTTAATTTTTTTTATTATTCATAAAATAAAATGATTTTGGATTTTTTTATACTTTTAATATTAAGTCTTGTATTCTTTCTGAAACAAGCATCATAACAATAATAAAATTATCTCAATGAGTCACTCTATATTAGTTATTTTCATACGTAATAGCTCTGTTTACAATCTTATTGAGTTGTTATTAATATTATTGAAATAAATATGTACGTAATATAACTGTAGAAATAGTTGTATGAAAACATTTAAATATAAGGATTATAAGTAACGGAAGTAAAGAAGAAAAATAAAATATCGTTGAGGATGGTTGCGTGCTGCAGGTGGTAAGAGAGAAAGAGTCAATTTATTATATATGCTGAACGTCCTACAAGAACTGGATTGACCACACCCAGCGGGACAAAAATTCCAAACATGCACTTGGCACGCAGAGTTTTCCATTGTTTATGCGTTGTGTGTAAACACGATATCGGTAAATATAGGAATTGACCGTAATTGTTTCGATTCTTTCGCAATCTCAACCTGTTGGGTCTCCTTTGTCGTTTTATTTAGATTCGCTAAAAGCTATTTATTACCAAGTAATTTGCTCTCAAGGTTAGATATCAACCCATATCTTACAAGTTAACATTAGAACATGATTTCGATTGGGTTCATTGACTTTTATCAAATTAAGAATCGATTTATTTTTTAACTTCAATGTTCTTTTGAAGATCTGACACAATTGATGTCCATTATCAGAAGTCGGGTTAAAAGTCTCCGATAAACAACGTAGTTGTTACGAAAAAATAAAAATACGTTTAACAATGAAGCATCTCTTGTAGTTGTTGAAAACTATCTCCTTAACAAACATGTCGAACACTTTTGTCCGATGCTTAGTAATTATTTTGTGCGCGATTTACTTTGCGCGTAGTGCAACAATCATAGAATACGATAGTGAAAATGCCCACACTAAAGTGACGACTGAAAACGTGACTGAAGACTCTTATAGTAAGATTAATTAATAGTAAAAAAGCTTAAATTGAAAATTAAATTTTAGTTGAAGTAGGAATTGTAAAACAACAGCATCATTTATACGTGGGAAGATGTAGCCCAAAAGATATTAAATACCACGGTGAAAACATTATTGTTAACAACGATGGAAAAAGTCATGTTGGTGCTGATATTTTGGTATTAAAAGCACGTTTATTTAAATGAATGATTTAACGAAATAAATTCTTTAGATTACCATTGACGGTCTAGTTTACATAACTTGCGTCAAAGTTTGGGATCAAGTCCCGGATGGAGAAGGTGGATATCCTTATTATACTGATGGCGGTGTTGGAAAAAACTTTATTAGGTTCAATGTCACAACTGGATATGGAAAAGGTTTCGATTTTTACGTAGAAATTTTCGGAAGACCGCTTGAAGTTATTAATAGAAATTCCTCAAAAAGTTAACAATACATAAATAATATACCAAAGAATTTTTGTTTTAATGCTTTTTATATAAAAAAATCATAAAAAATATTAACAATAAATGAATATATAAATTGAACGGCAAGTAAATTGTGTACTAAGTCTAAAAAAATAAATACGTTTCGCATTATTACGATTCTTGTTATCGTGATTTCGGTTTTTGCGGTTTCTCCCTAAACGGTATCGAAGGGGGTGGAACGTCCGGAACTTCCGGGTTCTTTTCAAAGTTGACCGCGGGTTTGACTGGTTCTTCACGTTCTTCTTTCTTGGTTTCTATCCGTTTCATATCGACGTATACCGGGTGAGGTTGAATATAAGGAAGAGCTGGGAATAGATAGTCATTTCTGTAAGCATACTGGAAGAACGGGTCATAAGTAACCGGATATAAAGTTCCATGATAAGATAGCTGAGGGGTATCTTTCTTTTGAAGCGCTTCTACATTATCTGGAACTTCTGGTTTTTTATCACTCTAAAAAAAATACATTTGTAAAATATTTGTGTTAATTACTTTGAAGAACTTACTTTTGGTGGTATTTCGTCACCTTCTTTCGGTTGATTATTAACCACGATTGGTGGAAAGGCAACTCCTAGGGCTGTTGTACGAAAGACAGGTTCGATAATCGGATAGGCGTGGCTTGGTGTTAAATTTTCGTCCGATGAAATTAAGGCGTTGTAAATTTTTGGTACTCTAACTAAGCCTCCTTGGGTTACCGCAAAAAATAAAGTTGAAAATGTTAACAGACTCAACATTGTATTGTTTTTAAAGAAAATCTAAAACTATAAAAAAATTTATTAAATTTATTTGTAATACTATATGTAATATTAAAATATGATAACTAGGACATTGACCGAACAATCTCATCTCGTAATAGAATATTGCTCAACAAGTTGGTTAAGACCGAAAGCATCAGATAATCGTGTTAATACGACCTCGCGTAATGGTAAAATAAAAGCGAGGACTGTTAAGCGAACTGTAACCAGAAATACCTGTTGGATGGTATACCGTCACAAAGAGCACCGAGCACGAAGCACTTTTCGAATTAAAAATGACGGGGAAGCCGTTCTAGGACACCGTCGACCTCTGCTCCGCGTCTGCGGGTATTTAAATTTCAGTCATACCGTATAAAGTGAGCCTAGATAACATACAACTACCGCCACACGAGTAAATGGTATAGTAAACCGGCCGGGCCTTTATATACCTTTCCTACCTAGTCTGTTTAGTTGTATTCACCTACCTTTGCCACATTTTTACATCGGCCTCCCTTCACCGGTGCCTACGGAGTTTTTGCAGATCGCCGCAATTTATGCACATGGATTTTATTGGCTTCGACCATTATGAGAGGCACCGTCCGATAAATAATGGCTTTGTTAATTTATTTACCGACAACGAGGTCACTGGGACGTAACCTGCAAAATACACACTTTATTCGATGGAGCCTCTGCAGTTCCTAGATCTCGTCTCACTACTCATAACTTTCGACGTTGGCTTTCCTCTGCACGTTTTCCCAACACCCGTCATTTAACACCTAAATGGATCGAAGATCTCCATTAAGATATCCATTTATTTTATTTTCTATATATTCGCCACTTCATTATCTACAACAAAAATGTTCCATCAAAATCAAAATCACAACAGCTCATTCAGAATCTTAATCAATTACTTACTTGTAAGTCTACGTTACTCGATTCATCGAAAAGACACGAAAGTTGACGACCTGAATAGTAATCTATTAGATGGTCAACTAGAATTGATTAGAAAAAACTTTTTTATTGCATATTTCAATTTTTTTAATATTATAAGCACTAACAACTTAATAATAACTTAAACACCAAATTCGAAAACTAGCCAAAAGCGAATTTAAAAAAAAATGAACTGATTATTTTTTTTGTTTTTAATTAAGTTGAAGAAAACTTAACCTTTATATGATGACCATGAATAAAATATCATTTGCATAAGTGTGTTGATCATTTTGCATAAATACATTCCATTTAGTGCTTAATATTTTTTTATATATCAATTTGCGGTTTACTTGTTAATAATTTATTAGGTATATTATCAACGGAAAGATCGGAATAAATATTTAACAGTAAAGGTGTGGATTGAAATCCGAGAAAAATATAAGGGGGCATTAATAAAAGTGTTGGTTCAAGTTCTAGTTCAAGGACTGCAGTTGCGTTAAAAATGAGCGGAAAATGTATAAATGTAACGATTATTCAAAAATTCATACCGCCGGCTAGGATTATAAATCAATGAGTGATTAAATTAAAATACGTAACCGCGAGAAAACTCAAACTCTAACATTGATAGATTTATGACTTCTAGAGATACCAGTTTTATTCTACCATACAGTTATCCCGGAGTAATCTAACCAAGTAGCTAATGGCAATTAGAAACGTCTCATATCAAAATTAAAATGTCGATCAAAAAAACGAAATTAATTAAAAAAAATTATTTAACTGTAAAAGTTTTAATTTGCGTATTTAATTTGTACGTTCTCAAAAGTAAGCAACAAGTAATCGGTTAAATGGAAAACTATTTACAGCTCTTCGCCACTTTGATGGTACGTAAAACGCATTTAACGACTTGAAACCTCTAGGTTATGGCATCAATTAAGAAAATAAACGTTAACGACCGAGAGAATAAGAAATCCTGCAAAAATCAAAGGACCACTACGGTTATTAACATACCGTAAGTCTAAACTGACCTACATCCCATGGATTCACCGTCACCCATTGCATTAAGAAATAATCCTTTTAAACCACACTTACCTCAATAATTAATCAAAATTTAAATAATAAAAGAACTTGTGTCTTTTCCACACAATACTAATAAATATAAATTTATACTAAATAATACTAAAATATTTATAATTTTTTTTAAAAGTCACCATCTGTGAGGAGAGTTGCGTACTAAAGATTTACAGTGCACTATACAGGTGTCCCGTATCTTCCGCATCATTATACGGTTGTAGGATACATTATTCTGAAGCGATTTTTCTAATAACTTTGTTCTATGTAATATAACGTTCTGATGTGGAAGATACGGGACATTCTGTATATGAGGATTTGTTGAAATTAATATTAAAAAGATTCAATTATCACAAGTTGATTAAGCAAGCAAAGGTTATCAAAAAATAATGAAATAGTTCAGCTAAACATTTATTTTTAAAAATCATTTTAAACCCAACACGGCAAACAAGCTTACAAAAATATTCTTTTAAAGAATAGTAATATTACAACGCGTAAATAATTTATAATAACATTGTTCCCTGTTTTTCGATCATCTTCGTTTTCCATATCCATTTTCGTTGTTGATTTATGCTGGGATTAAATTTGTTTCGGAATTTTTGGTGACCAACTGAAGAAGACTTCCGGATTGAGGACGATTTTTTCCAATAGTCCAGTTGTAAAACAATTCAGATATATAATCCAAGGAAGTCCAAGTTGTAAAATCAGCTTTGGGCATCCATTTTCTGTTCATTGGAGTGTCTAAAGTAATAGGTAATATTGCGACAGCCACGGAATCTACTGGCATTCCACTATCTTTTCCAGCAAGACTTTTTGTTAAGCTGTGTATGGCTGCCTTGGCCATCCCGTAACCGATCATTCCTGGAGTTGCTTCTAACGCAGCTTTGGCACCAGTTAAAGTTAACAAACCACCATCCTTTAAATGGTTCGCAGCTAATGATGCGGAAATTAAAGAACTCCACACACTCTGTTTCCACATCATATCGCTATTTTTAATCAAATCTTTCTTTGCATTGCCTCCAGCCCAACCTCCAGCAACACAAATTACAGCATCTAACTTATCATTACCCAAAACAGATGAAATAGATGATAAGACGGATGATTCTTGATCTGCAGTATTTTCTTCACGTCCCAAAACAATATTTAAATCTGCATCTGTATTTTCAGCCAAATCTATTGATCCAACCCACTAAACAAATTGTGTATATTAATATTAATAAATAGTAACCTTGTGATATAAACCAATTCTTACCCAATTCTTATTTTTAAAGAAAGACACGCATTTCGATCCCAAAGCACCTTTTCCACCGTAAACAACAACTCTTCCAGCGATTTGAGCCATCTTAAAAAAAATATGGTATTGATTTGTTTTTACGACCACTCCTGAGGTTAGCTCTTATGGAACTGTCAGTGGCAACCGTGAGTAATTGGTAACAGGGTTTTCACAACTTCCTTTCACGTTTGAATCGCTCGATTGCGGTAAGAACGAGATTGTTAAAAGATTTGAAATTCTGAAGGTCAACGTACGTCATATACAGATTATTTACACCGGGTGTTTCATTAAATGTAGGACATAATTTCTCTTTTAACAAATTTTGTTAATTTATTATTATATATTTCCCATAAATCTTTGATAAGAAAAAATGGGTAATTGTAACACTTAATTTCAGCTAAATTAAGACTGCAGTTTAACATGTTTTTATTTAAAATGTTCGACGAGTGACATCTATCATTAAAGTATTCAAGTTTTAATGAAACTTTGATTTATAACGTTTAAAATGAATTTGAATTTAATAACAAACACGAAACTTCCATGAATATATAATATATATCTTACGAAGATGTTAAATAGCAAAAAACGAGTAATATTCCTGCTAATTTCGAACGTTCTTTCGCATACCACTTGTCGATTGATGCAATTGAAATTACTCGACGAGATAAAGGAGCTGTAGGATGGTGCCATGTTGGGGTTGGAATCTGAACTGGCATGACGTTTCTGTCACTCAGTGTGAGTGGGGTATAGGATATAAATTCATTCATCTAGGTATGGGTCTACAGCCCGTATCGAGCCTTGGCCTCCCTCAGCCTCTGCCTCCATTCATCCCTGTCCCTGGCCTCTCTCCTCCAACTTCTACTCCCGACCATCTCCCAAGTCTCCCGATCAACTGCTTCCTCCCATCTCAATCTCGGCATTTTTCTACCGATGAGTCGTCCCGACACTCTCTCTCCTCCAATTCTGATTACGTGGCCAGCCCATCTTAGACGTTGGAGTCTGACGAACTGTGCCAGTGGCGGGTCTTTATAAATCCCATACAACTCGCGGTTGTATCTTGATCTCCATCCATCCTCCTCGCTTTCAGGTACGAATACACAATGGGAATATCTCATGAGATTTTCGTCTCATGAAATAAAAATCGCAGGATAACTTTAATTTCGTTGTGGAAATAAGGACTGAAATATCGATAATCTCCTGAAACAATGTGTCATAAGAGTTTTATTTCTTGTACAAGATTCAACGTGTAATCATGACTCTTGCGAATTTCGCATGGGAGATTTATTTCACATTTATTTCAAAAAGTTTAAAAAGAAAAGAATGGTTAAGAACTATGATACTGCAGTTATTTATACAATCCTAACATGTGGAACTACTCGTCCAAAAACTATAAAAATAGAAAACTTTGGAAATCAGCTATGGATGAAATTTCCAATAAGTTGGGACTTCCGACTCTAGAAGTGAAGAAACGAAATGCGGCCAGGCAACAGGAGAAAATTTTGAAGTGAAATGGGAACTTTAAACTTCATAGATGGACACAATGTGGTAGTGACACAACATTGGATTCATTGGTAAGTTTAATCATACATTTTTTATATAATAATAATAATAATAAGCCTTTATTTAGATAATGTAGGTAGGAGATCAACTGGCGAAGTTTAGCCCAATTTAACCAGTTACTCTCCCAAACAAAAGGAATAATAACATGTCAAGCCTTTTCTATCAAATAAAAGTTTAACACTCTAAAGAAATAAAACACAATACATAATAAATCACATAATAGCAGAGCTTAATCATCTGAAGTTTACTTTAATTCATACAAATCGCTAGTATTAATCTTATTCACATCTATGATAATGACAAAAATAATTGCTTACTGGACCTGGAAAAACGTGTTGAATTCATTTGCTTTAAATCATCTGGAAGATTATTATATAATTTAATGACATTATAAAAAAAGATCTCTTAAACATTGCCGTGGTATGACGAGGAATTTATGACAACAACGCGTAGAAAGCCGAAGTATTTTTACCAATGAAGAACTCACGCAAACGTACAGAAGCCGTAGGGGAAGTCAGCAAGCCATGAACAAAACAGACCATATGATGCCGCCAGCGATCGTCCATTTTTATCCAGTTCAACCCTTTGCATGCATGAGAGATATGGTCGTATTTACGTAGACCCAATATCAATCTTGAGCAGCAGTTTTGAATTTTTTGCAATCTCAACTTGCATACCGACGGCAATTTTATCATATGCCTTGGAATAGTTCAAGAGCACAAGAACCCCACACATGCCAGCATCACGAGCAGAAAAAAGATCCGTTTACGATTATTAATGTATATTTGTATTGCCATGGAACTTCTCCTTCATGGTGGAAATATTGTGTAAATGTCAGTTGTACATCTTTGGTTTCCAAATTTCTGCAAAGGTTAGAATTAACTTGTAGGATCTGAGTGTCTACTCTCCACTGTCCTGGTTGTATTGTGCCATTTTCGTGATCTTTCACATTGAATTCTAATTCAATTGGTCTTCTTTGTTCACCATGCAGATTTCTAAATGCATGTGATTTCATAATGTATGGTTTCATGGAAAAAGTCTTAATTCCTCCTGGTAGTGGTCTAGTTTTTGGAAATTTTAAGCTATCATTAGCAAGCTTCATTAAAAACGCCTCCATAACAAATTCTTCCAAAAGTTCCAACAATAATATATTGAAATTTGTAGTCTGGGTCAGCCAATACCACTAATAATTGTAGTACAGACTTCCACTATGTTTAGATGTTTTAATGACAACTGTGGAAACAGCGTATTCAGAGATAAATTATATCACATAAAACAAAAAACATGAAAAAAATTTTGAATAAATTAAAAAATCCTTTTTTCATTTTTTCAATTCATACTTGTTAATTTGATTATTAATTAATCGTGTTTGACTAATGGCAGAATTAACAGGGAATTTAGTTTTACCTTGTTTTTTTTTTTTTTTCAAAAAAAAACGATTATTTTTATCTTCTTGTTTAAGCTCTTGATTTTATGACGTTTTAATTTCAAATAATTTAAGTTATAAACTTTTAATGAGTACGGTATAGATAACAATCTACAAGTCTTTTATATCGAGATCGGTTTTTATAACTCCGTCTCTTTATTTCTGTGGGAATAAAACGAATTAAACAAAGGGCCGCATTAAGGAACACACCTTTATTGTAAATTGTACAGAAATAATAGATTTAAAATAATTTTAGTTTAAATTCGATCCTGTTCTTGTCTCGCCGACTTTTATTTATGACCCTCATAAAAATCGATGTTGTTTGAAATTGTGGTATAGTTTTTATTCCGATATTTCTGATGATTTTACGACCGTGAGAAATAATACTGGCAATAATTATCGCTGGGAAAAATCAGCTCAAGGTACGTGATTTATGATAGGCCGTCGTAACGAACTAAGTCCAGGGGCGCACTTCTTTTTTATTTTATACAAATATTTTTTTACGCATAAAAAAACAAAAAAACACTTAAACAGTTATAGTACTAATTATTGTATACATTTGAGAAATACAAATTTTAAATAAATTGTATTTTCACACATAATATTTAAATTTTTAAATATTGTGTTTAACAAATACTCCATATTAAGATTGATAAAAGGTAATTCCACATTTTTCTTTCATCGTAGACGAAATGAAATATCTTTTGTTTATTTGTAAAAAAATTCGAAACCTCAAAGCAAGCTATTGTTCCATATATCGTTCTGTCTGGTGTTCGGTAAAATGTTATTATTAAAGAAAAATTAAAAAATCGCACGCTCACGCGAGTGGTACAAAAATTGATACCCGCTCACGGTGGGTCATCATTTGCACATCTCTAATCTGAATATGGGGGTCAATACAGAACACAATCCATTGATCAGAACTGATCTCCTTCCTCTGTACCCAGCCCAGATCATTCTACACCAAGATATATAAAGTGAAGCACCGATTCTATGTTGTGATTTCGCTGTCTCTATACTGACGTTTTTCCTCGTCTGTACCAGTAACTTTGTCTTCTCCTTGTTGCCGCACTGTTTTGTTGATTAGCAACCCCATTTTCCTTATTACATGCCCATCTCCCTGTTTCAAACCCTGCAAGATCTGGGAGTCGTCCGTCAGTTGGCTCTGAACAAGTCGTATCAACTTTACTGGGATTTCAAAGTTTTCCATGACATCATATTCTTAGGCTTTATTTAGTATCTCCTTAACAGTAAATATTTGATCTATGGTGGATCTTCCCTTTCTAAATCTTGCTTGGTGCATGATGTTTTTGGCAAGATAGGATATAAATAGCTTTAAATAATTAAACACCATGATAAAATTAAAAATTGTCTGTGTATATTTTGTACTGAAGGACCAATATAATTACAATTAATTACATTTTCATTTACATTTAGTTTATCCTCATGAGATATATACAAATTCATTAAAACTTAACTAACAAAGTGAACTAATTTTATAAAAGATACACAAGATTTTCGGTTTTAGTAGACATGTATCACATTTATAAAGAGGGTACCACGTTATGCTGTTGAAGGTCTAGGATTTCCTTCCCAAGCATCAAACTCGCTTTGCTTCTGTGCTTTCTTTAATTCTAAAAATTAATTTTATATTATTTTTGATGTACACAAAATTAATGTTAGTTTAGAAATGAAAATAATAATTGTAGTTTCTGTACTTTATTACTGCTTTACATGTTTCAACTTTGAGTCATCATCAGAAGCGCTACAAGTTAATGGCTAAACTACAATTGTTATTATTTTCATAAAATACTCATAAAATTAATATTACCTTTAGCTTTACGTAATTCTTCTCGTTCGCGAGCTTGCTCCTCTTTGCTTATTCTCAAACCTGTACCTAAATGCGAGGTAATCATTCTACGTGCAGTTTGCATACTTGTTTGTGGTCTTCGAAGAGCTGGTTTCAAATCGGATTTTGACGCCACCTGACAGGCTATTGCACTTGCATAACCCATTCTTCTTGATTTTATTATGTCATGCTTTAAATTTAGTGCCATATTGGCTAAAAGAGAAGTGTGTAAAATTTATTAAAGATATTGATTTAATGTATACCTTGTGTTGGTGTACTAAAAACCAATAAAGCGTGGGTTTCATCACACCATTTCACGTACATAGATTCTTTATTAACTTCGTGATAGAGTTGGATTAAATCTTGTGTTTTAAATGAGGGGGGAAAATCATAGAGTTCTATGACATGCTCGAGATCTGAGAATTCTGTTCTCGGTGGTGGTTGTTCCTCTTCTTCTTCCTCTTCCTTGTTTATTGATTCGTTGTGTTTGTCATCTTCGTACTCTTCAGCTATCTAGAATGTTGGAAATAAGTGTTAGTAAAGAAATTTAGATAAAATATGCGGAAAGCATGATTACCACCTCAACTATATCATCGTCCTCGTTAAACAAGTCTTCCCAATTGGCTACTTGTTGGTCTTTGAGGATGACTTTTGGTTTTTCTGCTTTCCTTTGGAGATCGATACGCAAAACATCGTTGTTACCTACATTTACATGTTTGATAATGGGTCGCGTTTTTCTATTAATGTTAGAGATGACCCTTTCCATTTCTTGCTTTTCTAAATCAACGTTCTTATCCTCAGACAAAGACGTTTCATTCAACATTATAACTAAGGATTGCTCTTCATTAGTATTTTTTGAAGCATGGGTAGTCTCTTCTGTGTGAGTTTCCATGTTTGGAGAATTTCGTTTCTTGCTATAAGTGTTTAAATGTCAACAAGTTAATTAAAAAATATTTACCTCAAACTGACCTTGTAGATCTTTGTGCAGGAGGAACGTACAATTTCTGTGCTGGTCTTGATTTCTTCTTTTCCGCTTTTTTATCCTCCATCCTCACTGGCACTGTTTAATAAAATCCGTTCATAGTCCGTCAAGTGTTATTCTATTTTTAATCACATCACAGTTGTCGGAGGACTTGAGCGCGAAATACTATGTATCGCGATGGAATGACCGCGGAAACGATGCCTATTGAAAGTAAAATGAAAGTAAAATCGGAGACCTTTACATAACTATGAAATCATTACTTTCTCTCTTGCTCATGGCATTCCTTTCCTGTAATTTCTGTCACGCAATAAAAACAGCCGAACAATCAACTCGAAAATGGCTATTTAAATCACTCAATATGGTTGTATTACGCCGCGTAATATCGATGCAAACAAATTAATGATTATCGTGGCTTTGTTCAAATATACAATTCGGTATGACGCATCCACTCATTTCTACCTATTATCTGGCTTCCTACGTGACTGGAGGGGGAATAAAAACAACAAAACATCAAGGACGATATCTGCTCGGATGTAGAATTTGATAAAATTCTACTCCACACTTTATGTGTTATTTATTTCAAATTGTTTATCTTGTATTATTCATTTATTAATAAGATTGAATTAAATATATCTAAGCCACATCTTCTACTTGTTCATAGATGGTGCTTTATTTATGTATATTTAGGTTTATTGACTTATCCAATTATTGTTTGAGGGGTAGGAAAGGAATGTGACGTCATGATTTCTCCTTGGAATAAAAATCTTTTTTCGGAGTTTATTTTTTTAAATTTTAAAATATTTTTATTGAATCAATTAATTTCTGAGCTTTTTTACGATTCATAATAAAGATGATACAGGTAGTTACACTTTTTATTAACGAATTTCGGCCAAAATTACTTGTTATTAATGTAGGAAGTTGGACAACCATGTATTCAACAGATCTTGCGCTGTAGCGTTCTGTCAAAATACAAAAGGAAAGCGTGTTTCGGTGGCCCCCCCTAAAATTACAACAACATATCAACAAACATATCCTGGCCAAGTTATGAGCCCACAAAAACATGAAGCTTAAAATTTTTGGTGATTTTTCAACGAGATGGCTGAACATAATTCCACGACAGCGTTCGATACCCCGCTGTTTAGGGAAATACATAAGAACTCTTGGCTGACAAAAGTTCCTACAGAGAACACGAAAAAGGTATGTTTATTTAATTTACTTAAATAATGCACAACCTATTTTTATTTGATATTATTATTTTTAGAAAAAAGAGAAAGTATGGGTGGTATTTTGTGTCCATGATGATAACGAAGCTTACTTAGAAACATATTTTGATTCAAAAATGGCAGCAACACATAAACCTGACTGGTACGTCTCTTTACAACATACTAGTCATGTCTCACCAACAATATGCCCTCAAGAACAAGAATATGAATTTGTGATTACCTTATACAACGAAGTTGTACGCTTAGCAGCCCCCACATCTGAGCAAATGCTTGATTGGGTGGAGAGTTTACGTGCAAAATTACAAGAACTGAGGATACTCAGTCCAAAAGAAAATATTTATTCAAAAATGCCAGAGAACAAGGCAGCTAATTTGTTACCAACACGAGATCCTACATCTCCGTTACCGCCCCCGCCGGCTGTGCCACCTGTAATGTTGCCTGGAGTGGAGCCATTTGAATTGTCCTTGCACAGAAGTGGATCAAATGAAGAACAACAGAGTAGCGTATTTAATTTTGAAGATTTGCATTCCACTTTGACAAGTAGAAGCAGTTATGACAGGCTTTTTGTGGAAAGACCAGGTCCGTCCACGAGAAGTTTTAGCTCACCCAGCCATTTACAACCTCCCCCTCAACCATCATCATATCGTACACTACGAGAACAGCAAGTTTTACAATTACAAAAAGAAATGAAACATCCCAGTGGAGTAAGGTTACAATTAAGGCGGAAAGATTGTATTAGCTCAATAGCTTTAGTTGATATATTTAATGGAGTTTGGATTTGCGGTTGGAAACAAAAAGAACATCCCATGTTATATAATGCTTTACACATTGGTGATCAATTATTATTTGTTGAAAACATTCCCGTAAAAAATTCGACTGAGGCTAATAAGATTTTACGTCATTCCTGTTGTGGTTTATACGTGAATGTTGTAGTCAAACGTGTACCGCACGGAAAAGTATTTATAATCCATCGGGATACCGAAGGTCAAGCGTTGGGTATCGTCCAAGAAGGTAACACGGCTGTGATACGATCCGTTCAGGTTGACAGCTTGGCGGCAAGGCACGGATTATCTGGTAGGACTCAAACTTGCGACGGTTTATCGTTTACGAACTGGGTACTGACTGAAATAAATGGCCGTCCATTGAACCTATTCTTTAAAGAGAACCAAGTACGAGACAGACTTAATTCCGTCGGAAGAGATATATCAATATTGGTACAACCAATGGATTTAATCAAACAGATGAAGAAACAAATGAAAAATTTAAGAAATTACAAGGATTACATATTGCAATAAAAAACAAAACTAATCAAACTTTTTAATTTCCTAAATTATTTTAATTTCACATCACATTATTTATGTAATATAGATTTAAATCAATTGTAATGAAATAATACACGAAATTTGCTTAAAATTCGATAATTGCAATTCTATTTGTCAAAAAAAGTTGCTTTTTACAAATTTGATTTTTATCAAATTGATTATAAAATTTAAATAGAAGGTGCAATTTACTGACGTTAAATGTTATAAAACGTATAACATTGAAAGAGGTCTTCTATTTAATTTTTTATTGAGTTTATTAAAATATTACAATTAAAAATCATATCTTTTATTAAGCTACAAACTTTATTATTGATTTAAACTGATACATAGTATGTCTACTACAGACAAGTTTCCATTGCCCAATCTATTAAAGTGTTTGCACTATTTAATACATCATCAATATTGAGCGGTAATATTAGTAATATTAGTACTGTCTTACATGACTATGTACTGTCTTGAAGAATATCTTCATCAGTAATTAACACATCTTGCGCGGGAAGCGACTAAACTCGTTTTGCATGGTATTGATGCCCGCTACAAGGTAAGACCTTGGCCGGCGCAAGATGTGTTAACTTATCAGAATGTTCATTTGCTCCTATAGCCCAATCATATATTTCATTATCGTCCAATACTGTTTCAATACAATTACGCTAATGGTATCCTCATCATCAAAATCATCGTCCATCGAATCAGCCGTAGTTGCGAATGGATGTTACAAACCACTCAGGATAACGGATTGTTTAGCGACAACTTTTTTAATTTGCTGCCAATGTCTCCATTCATCACCAATAAAGGACACAGTACCTTTCTTCTGTATGTCGTTTTCATTGATCTAATTATTCCTTGATCTTAGTATTTGGTGGAAAGAAGAGAACTGTAAAGTGTCCATCCACCGATGTCACCTCTTCTTCAGTTCCGTGGCACGTAGCATTATCCAATAAAAGAACAGCTTTAAGAAGTAAATTTTCACTAATTAAATATTGAGCATAAATACATCATTTATAGTATACGGGGTGGTTCAATTTTTAATCGGGAAACTTTACTACGACGTAGTACTTGCCAGTAGTAGATACATACAAAATTTCAAATTCTACGGTTTACTTATATCCGAAATAAAAGATAAAATGCAAATTTTTGGCTCACCTTTGACAGCTCATAGCTCGAAAACAAAAGAGTTGCGACTAATACCGTAATACCGATACCGGGATCCCGACCGATTTTTGTCAAATTTTAATACCGGTATTTTTTCCACAATACTGGTATTTTTCGGTATTTTCTTATTTTTATAAATTTTTATTTTCCGTAAAATTAATGATGCAATATCATCACTAACACCTGTCAAATTAGCAGTGGAGGCTCTATGTCGAAGAGATGCAAACCTCTTAATGGCAGATGTAGCTGTAACATTTATGATAGAAACTCTTAAAGAATCAAATTTCCCAATTGCAAAACTTACATAATACTTTATTACAGAGACTATTAGAACGTCACTCAAGTTTGTCTCAAGTATTACAATACCTACACAACAATACACAAAATATCTTTTTTTTTTCGTTATTAACCAAAACGAATATAAGACAAAAAATTATAAGTTTATTAAATAGACTAACGGACGAAAACAAAGAAAACCTACCGAGTACATCACATGAACAAAAATATTTAACTAGTACATCAAGTGAATAAGAATAAATATCGCTATTAACGAAAAATTATCATCTGCTCCACTAATTTCCAAAAGTATCACTTTGGAAGCCAAGCAGTCATCTTCAAAAATCACCATTCAATCAAATCACCATTCCTCCAACAAGCGTGGAATCAGAGAGGGTTTTCTCATCAGTCCAAAGTTTTTGTACAACAATCCGTTGTAAACTTAATGATAATACATTAGAAAACCTATGTATTTGAAGAGCACATTTTAATAAGTCGTATTACAAATAAGTATTTTGTATTAAGCATTTGCACTACGACTTATTGATATATATAATGAATAATTATTTATTTATTTTACATTTTTATAATAAATTTATTATCAAATTTCGTTTCATTCATTATTTTACCTCTAGATTTTTAGCATCTTTATATTTTTTTCCAATACCGGTATCACATTGAAAATATACCGAAATACCGGTATTCAATTTTCGGTCGGTATTCCGAACCCTAGTTGCGACCCTATGTTTATATAAAAAACTTCTTTTGGCAAGTACTACGTCCCAGTAAAGTTTCCCCATTAAAAACTGAACGACCCGGCATTTTTAAAACAACGGAGATTTTTGGCTTTTCCAGTCATTAATAGTGGAAGTTTATGGTTACACAGTTGCATTAACACATGGCATAATTGTTACCCTTCTTTTGAATTTTTTTCTACCTGGAACCATTTTTTCATCTTTCATCACATGTTTTATAGTTTAAATTCTTATAAATTAATCCTGTCTCATCGGCACTATAAATTTGTTGAGGATGTAAAGTTAGAAGATTTATTTTTTCACGAAAACTTTCAATAAATGATTTGCGGAAAGTTATTCTCCGCTAATTTTTAATAATCCTATGGCCCGACTGGCTTGAAATTTTATGTTTTATGAAATTCTTAATAATAGTGTTATTCTTAATTCTTTCATTTAAAAACCAAGTATATAACGATCTTTCAATATCCGAAACCAATACTTTTTTAATCGTTTCGAGTCAAAAAATTTTCTATATTTTCTCGTCATTTTTAAGTTAACTTAACTCACTTAACCTTAAATGTCAAACATTGCAGTTATGGAAAACAAATGAAATCAAAACCGGTTGCTAATAAAGAATGTTGCGTTTATAGGAGTTGCATTTATCGAATTTTTACTGTACCTATATGTATTATTTATTTTAACACATCCTTACCGCAATAAAAACGAGTCTTTTTAATTTCTTAAATTATTTTAATTTTATATTGTGTAAATAACATAGTATAAATTCGAGTCGATTGTAAAATTAAAAAAAAACAATTTTGCTTATATACCATCTGGATTGCTTATTTTACCCGCAAAAATAATTCCTTCCGTGAGTTTATCATAAATTATATACGCAAACGGTTTATTTGCAATGAACTTTGGAGGTGGCGTTTTATATTGGAATCCTGCGCCGGAAGCGGCCGTCGCAACTGTACCTTCTTCATCAACTTCAATATGCGCCTTTTGTATCACCCTGGAGAGGTGCACATAATGGGGGAATATCCCCAATAAATTTGCAGTATCTTCATTAAACACATCCCTAATTCCCATCGTGTTAAGTACGCTATTTAGAGTTAAATCAGAGTCGACTTTAAATCTTGGTAAAGATACCATGACGGGGTCGCCCATATAACTTTGAGCTGCTTTCTTCAAAGTAGCTATGATGTTCTGGAAGGGTTTGGCGGCCAAATCTTGAAGTACACTTTGTAACATGATATTCTTTTTAGGCAAAATGACTATCATTGAAACTCTATCACCCTGATATGGAAGCTCAACGGCGGTTGCCGTGTTATCAAGAATCAAAGAAAATGGAAGATATTCAACTTGAAACATCATATTGACCTCTCCTATCGCATTACCGCGTTCATCATAAAAACTTTCCCTTCTTGTATCCGTTACGTTAAATTTATTTTTCCACAATCCTTTGAAAAACAAGACGCTTGTGATGAATAATTGAGCATCCATTAAATCTCCTGTTAAAAAGAAATTAAATAAAAATAATAAAAAAAAATTTTTTAATCAAACCTTCATTCGCTAAATTATTTATTTTCCCTCTAGTCGCCTGTTCAATTTTCTTATTGACTATACTGACGGCGTTCCTAACATTCCTAAAGTCGACTGGTGTGATATCAACGTCGTAATAGTTTCTAGCGATGTCACTAAAATCTTTAAGGAGGTTTTGTTGGTCGGTAACAAAAATACTGTTGGTATATTCAAGCGTAACTCCGGAACTTCCCATTCTCTAATTAAAATAAAAAAAAATAAATACATTTTAAATTTTTTAAAATAAAAATTTACTTTGAAATAATCAGACATGCGCCTATACAGTTTCCGGAATCTGTCTTTTTCGAATTCCGAGGCAGGAATTCCCAAAGCGTACTCGAGTTCTTTTGCGGTGTTATTTCTTGCACCTTCCGTGACGATAGCCATCAAACTCCAAATCGTTTGTGGTGATAGTGCTAAATTCCTGGATTCCCCGATTCCTTTACACGTTTCCTTTATTAACAAATAATAGAAAACCCAATAGATAAAAATAGTTTAATCAGAGATTATTTTTAAATTACCGCTAAAAAGTTCAAGGAGAATCTGTCAAGCGAATCACTAATCAATCGGTAATCGTCGGCGTTTTGGCAATTAATCGACGTCACGAAAACGAAGAACAATAATATTCCTAGAAGAAATTATGAAAGCGTATGATGGAAATTACTTTAGTTGATTAATATATAAAATGTACTTACGTTTTATAAATGTTATTAACGCCATGGCATGGATGGGTTTTCGAAATAAAATACTGAAACTCTTAAAAACAGTTATGACCTTAACCCGTTCGTCACTCGACCGTAGCTCGACTATTCTCGGTTCGAAACTGTTCAACGTACTGATCGAAACTGTTTGTGTTGAACGTAGGATGAGTAATTCCGTCGATGCGATTCTTATCGTAATCGTGACAATGTTACTTCGATGGCTGGTCGTGTTTTCGGCGTTGGGAAAAGCCCACGGACGAGTGACGTCACTCTATAGCATTTAACTTGGAAAGGTGACATAAAACAACACAGCCAGTCGAACGAATATATTTTCTTTTTACGTTCCCCCACCAATTCAGGCGAGACCGTCTTTACAACCTTTTCTACCTTAAAACAATGATTCACATTGCAATGATAAGTACTCGTTGTTTTATATTTATATAACTAGGCTAGTTATGTGACCTTAACGTTTTATTCATGACTTAGTTATGGTATAATGATAACGCAACTATATAATCATGATTTAAATTGTACAAGTCTGAGCTGTTTTAAACAAGTATTTGTAATTTATTTAGCTTTGGAATATTATGTATATTAAATAAAATATATTAACAATAATAACAAAAGATCTATTATTCTAGATATAAGACGCATATAAGAATTTAATAATGTATGATGCAACTCAGCAATGTGGCGCATTGTTTTAAGCGTACAGATTCGTCCGCGGAAGCATCGGCAGTGGCCGTCCATGTTTATAAGTCTACTTTTCGTACTCATACTATGCGTAGTTAGTAATTTTTTTTTGAAATAAGGACAGGAATGCGGTGCACGGTTTTGACGGCGCTCGTATCCTAAGGAATGCTACGGTAATAGTTTACACGGGCATACTGCGGTACAGTCGTTATAAAATGTATAAAAAACGAGCAACGAATTAAAAGTCAAGGCAAAAAAACGATCGGTGGAAAACAATCGAAACGATCACATCACAGGTGTTTAGTAATCAATTATATTTCCAAAGAAACAACAACAATATTTTATACAGAGAAAACAATAACCCTCGACAACGCTACCGCTACTATACTCGTAAAACGGTTCCTATACATCCTTGTATAACGAACCTCATCGTAATTATATCGATAATGGTTGTTTCGTGACTAATTGATTTTAACTAATTTATCTCTAATCATGTTTACAAGTTAGTTGAAAGCAATTAACCTCGAGTTTACCGTAATAATAATAATAATAAATACCGGATATTTTAATAAGAAAGGAAGGGACAAAAATTTCAATTGGAACTGGAACATGAGCGTCCAATCGAAATTTTTCGCCGCATTTCTCCAATTCTAAGAGACTTTGGGTTTAACGTAAATCCGGGTTATCATTGAGTTGTTTCTTGATACGCAGCAATATCATTGTATACCACTGATCCAGGCGCGAAATTGAATCATACTCCTTCACAGCATCAGTAAATCCATCAACATTTTGTTCTTCCATGTGTTCTATCAATGTACAAACCAATTTGTACTCACGGGAGTCTTGGAAGGCAGGGTACATCTTCACGTACCGATCCAATGCTTGCTGAGCGTTCAGCAAGTCAACACATAGATGACACAGCGCGGCGCGGAACAAATATTCCTTAGCACTGTACTTAAGTAGAGAGCTTTCTAAAGATGACGAGGCCACTTGTTGGTATATATTTATTGCTTTTTCATAGTTTTCCAGTTCAGCAGCATATTGAGCCACCTTCAATAGACATTTATTTGCAGACGAGTTACTCTCTTCACCTCTATAATAATCTGCAGCTTGTTCGTAATGTTGTACCACTTTTTCGTAGTTAGCAGAATCATTTTCATAAATTTCTGCAATCGTTTGATGATGCTTTGCTGCCATTGAAAATCTACCCATATCTGTATAAATTTCTATTGCACGTAAAAGATTTGTTTGTGCCTCTAAAAAAAAAAAAATAATAAAAATCACTTATTTTAGTATTAATTATTGATCTTCAAATTCTTACCATCCGCGTTAGTTTTCTTATAACAATTAGCAGCATCTACATAATTAGTTGCAGCATCATGACGAGATCCACCCTTAGCATGAAGTTGGGCCGCTTTACAGAAAGAACTCCCGGCCTCTTCCCAATTCTTGGCAATTTTATACATATTAGCTGCTCTTGTATAACATTCGATAGCATCCTCAACCTTTGTGGTGCCACTAAAATATAAATGAGTCAACGTTACTCAGATACAGGGATAAGGTGTAATCGACGACAAGAGCCTGAGGGCTTCGTTCTTACCCGAAAAGCGACGAGAAAAATCCCTTTGACGCCTGCAACTTCTTTTCGGCTTCCTGGATTAACTTCGCTGCTTTTTCTTCGTTCGATGACATCGTTACGCGAGATAATAACAATGGACAATTGCTACAATCCTGACACTGTTCTCATTGCGATATTGACAAATTGTTTCTTAGTGTCGACGTTAGAGTTAGAACTGTCACTTTGGTGGTCTATCTTAACGATTTTTTGGTGGTGTTGTTGGTTTTAAATAAGAGATGGCACCCTTAACTTGAAATTACTAATATGTATGTTAATGCAATATGTTTATTTCAGTTTGCACTTGCACGAAGCCCAAATATACTGTATCATTGTAAGACGAGCATACGAAGTATGTATATCATCAAAATGATAATACTTCGTCTTCGTACAAAAACGCGTGAATTTTATGTTAATTGTACTGATTGTATCTATGATTTAATTGCTCTATCGGAAACTAATTTAAATTCGGATCTTAGGTCTAATGAATTATTCGTGGATAAGTACAGCGCCGTACGAGGTGATCATCATGATATTGAACTGGTTGATTCTACAGGCATGTAGCCAGTGGTGTTGTACATACCTCTGATAATTCGCAACCTGATTTGCTATGTTTCTTGGACGCCTTACAACATAAAGTTTTGAATTATCCTGTCCTTATCCTTGGTGATTTTAATTTCCCTAAAAAATAGTAAGTCACTTGGTATATCTATCATCTTCTATCATATCTATCATCTTGGCAATGTGAAAAAACGGAGTTATTTCGTAATTTTTGTGACTTTTTGAACCTTCGTCAACTCAATCATGTATTAAACTATGACAATCGTTTATTGGATTTCGTTCTTACAAATACTGATTGTGCCCTCGTCTACGAGGATCAGTCCCATCCCGCCTTAGATATTGCAATGAATTTACTGATAGCAAATGATGGTTTTCCGAAACTTTGTGTTTTTAGCTTATCTCCTAAGTTTATGAACTATTTGCCTCTTACCTATCGGGTCGTATAAATTATGTCTATTACAACAGTTATGCGTCTATGGAGTTTACGGCTAGGTCTGGAAATAATAAGTTTATTGAATACGCATCAAAATGTACAATATTCTCGTGAAATAAAAGTTGTAATAATAATGACAATAAAGAAAACAGGTATTCATTAATTTGTCTTCATTGCTGCAAAATGTTCATCTATGGAGTAGAATTCCTTTTCTAAGAGCATATTCTCGACCTGTCTTATAAAACTCTTCATATTCAATGTTTTAAAATGGGGTTGGGTTGAGTTTTTTATGATTTTGTTATTCTGTCATATAGAAGTTTGATGTAATCTCCTTGTCTGGTGCAGTAGGGGTGAGACTCTATAATTGTGGTTAGTGCATCCATGTTTTTGTGTATTGTATAGTCTAGACACGTAAGTATAGATGAAGATATATACTTACTATGCCATACACCGCCATGATGTGGAAGTATGCAAAATACACATTTCGCGATTCAGCCGATGGTAAGTTTTTTACCATTACTTTTAAACAATATATTAAAGTTGCTCATTTCTTTTTAAGCTGCGATTTAGTCTTTTGATTTGTAACGTGATCATTGGATTTCGTATAAAACTTGAGTAACTTGGTTTTAGTTTTGTTTAATTGTAATTTGTTCGAGTTGAATCACTTTTCTGTCTCAACCATTGTTGTACTAATTTTTTTCTGAAATTTTTCAGTATCCTTTTCCATGTTTATGAAGGAAGTATCATCTGCATGTAGACAGAGTGAATCCGATGCTACAAAATCCGGCAGATCGTTTATGTAGATCAAAAAAAGAATCGGTCCAAGAACCGAACCTTGCGGAACTCCGATATTTCGCCTTTCCAGTGAGTTTGTTGTTTTCGCTGATCCAAATATGAAACTAACAGGTTAAGGGGCTTTACTAAGATCACAAAAGGCAACTTGAGTATATTTTTCTTCATCAAAACCTCTTATGATCACTTGTAATACATTAAGCAGTGCCGTATTCGTGGATTTCCAAAATTTTGGACATTCAGGTTTGGTTACTCAGGTCGTTGGGATTTCCAGGTTTCTTCTTGAATGACATTCTAGACAAATTCTCATCTAACGTACTAACTTATGCAAACGATTTGAAACTATTAAGACCTATTTTTTCGGACCGTGATGTTGTCAGTCTTCAGTCGTACTTGGACGTCTTGGTGGAATTGTGTAACCGTTATCAGCTAATGATTAATATCAATAAGTGTGGTGCCGTCACTTTTACACGCAAGCTGTCTCCTTTTCAATCTTCTTATTATATAGAAGGTCTATCTACAATCAAAAATCTAGGAGTTACTTTTGACCTCAAATTGTCTTTTGTACTGCACATTGAAAATATAGCATCTTCTGGGACGAGGACGCTTGGTTTCGTTTTGCGCACCTCGCGTCCGTTTTTGACCTTTGAATTGTCCAAAATGGAATTAATTTGGTCACCACAATATATATGTCATAGATTTATATTGGAAAGAATTCAGAGATTTCTCAAATATTAGTCTCTACGCTTGGTTGGGCAATAAAATGAATTATTATTATTATTATAAGTGTACAAGGATGGAGAAGAAGGCGATGAAAAAGTAATTTTTTACAACAGAATTTTATTTGGAACTTTGATATAATACATTTACTTTTTGCATATATTTATAGTTTATTTATATATAATATATATTTATTCATTTATATAATGATTGCTTGTGATTTTTTACAATTAAATTGTTTAAATAAAACGTTATATCAATAGTATAAAGGTTACTAAAAATAGTTAGAGAAGTGATGGTGAGATGATATATTTATTTATATAGATGTATATTATAATATATGCGTTGAGTGAATTTAGATCTGAAGATGAGGGATCACTGCTCCAATAAACGAGACTAAATTGCTACGTGCGGTCACTAGTTTTAAATCTATCGAACGGTGAGTCTTTCGCTAACTTTAAAATAACGAGATCATTGACTAATAATGACAGAACAACATTAACACTTTGCAACGGTAAACAACATCGCAGACAGACACGTTTCAAAACACGTTTCAAAACGAAACGTCGACCGTTGTTGATCTGTCGACGTATCGTCGTCGCCTTTTTAACCACCTTATAATACTAATCACATAATCAAGTACTCTTTTAAACATAAATATTTATAAACAAATTGGTAATTGATAACAACAACAAAAATGCCGTCAACCCTATTCAATAACATGCGAAGAAGTGAGATATACATTGTATACAGGGTTTTTCAATTTTATTGGAGCTAAAATTTGACTCTATCTACTATTTTCATAAATTAGTAAAAGTTTATAGTGAAAAGTAGACAATTAAAAAAATAATTAAAGAAAAAAAACTTTAACAATTTTATTCCTAAATAGAAAATAATTCAATAAGTTTGTCTGATTGCACCTAATAACTACTTCTTTGTCCACCTAACTAACATCGTGGCTAACGAAGTAAAATATTCAGCGTCCATAAAAAATAAAAAAAAGAACACCTGTATAACGATCTAAAGTTTTTTCGTTCAAACTCGTTATTACAAATTGTAACCAACATCGACTCAATATGTTTTTATAGAACCAACGATTGTAAAAGAGGTGTTTTTATAATCTATATTATTTCATCTGCACATCTGTTATCTTTTGGTAAAACATTCCGGAAAAAAAACCGGGAACAAAAATTACAGTTTCGAATTCGGTCGTCCAATCAATCAGATTGTCTAACACGCACGGTGCACAAATAATAGCCCCTCTCCATGTTTGTACCACTGTTTTGAATCGTTTTAGCACCATGTCAAAATTCTATATAAGTAGCTCGAAAAAACCTTTTACCGGTCGATGACGTTATCGCATGCGACCGAAACTAGAGGAAGGGAAGACGTTACGCTATTGCACATAGATAGCTAACTGTTCAAAGACACCCGCACATTTTCAGCTGGCGTTAACGGACTGTTGATGCTATTCGCACTTGATGGTGTATTCCCCTGACTGGCCATCAGTTTTTGTCGCACCTCCCTTATTTTTAATTGCAATATATTCTTCGACGGAAATAAGCACGCGTGTTCTCCTTGGAACTTAGATGTTGCCTCAGCTGATGGAAAATATGTACCGCTCTTTTTAAATAGTTCCATTACTAATTGTCGCCTTGTTTCTAAGAGTCTTCTATGTCCCCTTTCTGATTCGCGACCTGTGCCTGGTGTTCTAGGAGTGCGCGGCGAGTTTGCTTCTTCCATATCAGTCAGATCTAATAATATTAATTATGTATATAAAAAATTTACAACGAAACTTATACTACCTCTAGCAGCATCTAAGTTAAAATCTGGCCCAAAAAAAGACCCTCCAACAATATGTCGACGGGGAGTCCCAACTTGCTGTCCATCCATTTCCACTTCTTCGTCAACCGAAGTCCTATGCGGTGTTGGTCGTTGTTTCTTTTGATAACTGGGTGTAAAGTGCGGACTGGACGCTACGGAGAGTGCACTGGGAGACTGACATTCGTCCGGCTTAAACTGAGGCAACGAAGAGAATTTCTTATCGAAATTCACCTGTTCCAAGACCCTGAAATAAAGCCTTCTGAGTATGGTTAAATGCTACCAAATCAATCATTATGCTGCACCTGTCCATTCCGTCCCTATTTTGACTTTTCTTTGGCAGAGCCTTTTTATGAAGGGGCGACATCAACGGATCCGGAGTATCTGGAGGCGGTGCTACACTCGTTGGAGGCTTCGTTAATATACCCCCTATATTACTTGGCATAGATGATGATGATGTAGCTACAGCTAAAATACATAAATAAATTAATTTCAAAAATAGTAAATAATATAATTGTAATATATAAATCTAAAAATTACCCATAGATTGCCGTCTTTGTAAAGGTGCTTGTCCTAATTGCGCAGGTGTCGGTGCCAATTTAAATTCTTCTTTATGTTCTGCCATAACAGGATGTCTAGGAGTCGTCTCAGGATTATTTAAATGAGGTGACGAAGGGATAAGTTCTGGAGATTTTATAACTTTCGTATTGGATTTAGCATCTTTTTGGTGATTATTATCGATAATTTTGGGCGTGCCGGGAGCAGTAGGACTGGGATATGGGAGATTGTTACTTGCAGTGGTCGAAGTTAAGTCGTTTTGAGACGCGTTATGGAGTCTGGTTTGGGCCTGGCTAACAATAACGGATTGGGCGGTGGATTTTGGAAGTTGGGCGAATTGAACGGGTTGTATGGCAACGTTTCTACCGTTTGTGTCTGATACGGGTATTTGCAAATTGTAAACATATTGCACAGATTGATCCGAAGCTGATGAGGCAACAACAACGACCGGGTGAGATCGATCTCCCTCACTGGTGAGGCACAACGTGGTAGATTGTCCGCCAATTTGGGGGTTTAGAATTAAAGCCATGGGTTGGCTATGAAATTGTCCAGGTTGATTATGGTGTTCTCCCCCAACTTGTATGATGCTGGTAGGTTTTCCTTGTGGTTTTAAGATAATTGTTGACGGTGGTTTGGAAGGTGATATAATTCCTTTTACGTTAGATGAAGTGGTAGACCAAGAGCTTGGTGTGGGATCTGTGTCATTATGGCTCAAAGAAGGACAGTCCAGTTTTGATGTCATGGCAAATGAAGTGTTATTGCTCCAATTGTGAGCGTTTTCGTTATTCTCCATTTTAATTTCCGTCTTGATAACTTTTGGAGAAGCAGGCATCGTTTTAAAGGCACCTCCAGTCGTTTTGAACTCGCTTATACCTTGCGGGTTCATCGGATATGGAAAGTTTAGTACAGAAGCTGTAGGCACTGGACTGAACTTTGGCCCATTATCGAGTCTTGCTTTTATTGGTTTCGGTCGACAAGTCACTTCTGGCATCGTATTACCAACAATACCAAAGTGTTGTTGGTGATTCAGATGCGCGTGATGATGACGGCCGATTCTATTTTCAAGCGATTGATCTAAATCGCTATGAGATTCTGAATCCGAATCGGTAACTTTTTCTTTTGATTTTAACTCAATTTCTTGTTGGGGAGTGTCCTCACAAATTACCATTTGATCCTCATCGGATATATCGCCTGTGTCTTGCTCTTCGACGGGTAATTTAGCTTCAGGAGCTGGGGATGGTGAATTTGGTGTGTGCGGACTCATTGGAACGCCATCTCCCATTTCCCCAATATCACCCGTCGAACTTAATCGACTCCTACCAGAACCGGTAGACGACTTTCTCCTGTCTTTATTGCACCATTTCCACTCTGGATGAGCTTTAAAGTGAGCTTCTTTTACTTCAGACGCTAACTCGTGGTATTCCTTCTTTTTATCCGGCGATAAAGCGTACCACCATTCGCCTAAAATCTTTGACACAGTCCTGTTATCTTGGTTGGGAAATTGTTGGTGAACAAGTGCGCGATGTCGTTTTGAAAAGATCATAAACGCATTCATTGGCCTTCTTATTCTTTCTTTAGTTTTAATCGTGGCGTCGCCTCTTTGCAAGGAAGTCAACGACTGGCTCCTACGTTTATTTCCATTGTGAACATCTTCAGGTCTATCTGGAATCTTAGCCGGTTCGTTAACGAAGACGTCGTCATCGTCTTCAATACTCGGCAATATCGATTCCGGCTCAATATCATCTTCTATATCAAGAACGGGTGCTGGCACTTGGGATTGCATTGTTGGCACTGGTGGAGCCGACAACGGTGGAGACAATTCAGAATCAGGCGGTGAAACGGGACCCGAATGAGGAGGCAGTATCGGTAATATTGAGTGCCAAATATACGTTGACTGTTGTTTCATATTATGGATTGGATGACTTTGAGATTGTTGACTAGTGGGGAATGAATTTATTAACTGATTCGTAGAGGTAGGCGTGGATCGTTCATGAGATGCGTAAGGGTTCGATTGACTTAAGGGAGATTGCATGTTTACGGGTTCTTTCGGTAAATTGTTGTTGAATCCGGTCACCGTCGGCAGCTTTATTATCGTCGGTGGCGTCGTTTGTGGCACAGAGGTTACGGGCGGATGTTGTTGAGGCACCGTTTGAACACGTTTTAAGACCGAAGGAGTAGCCGCTGGTAAAACGGGCACCAACTGAGTCGGCTTTACGATGACCGGCAGCAATTGACTGCCGCTATTCACCGTCGATGGAAGACTTTTCATGCTGGGGTTCGTTGGCGTGACGCGAATGGTCGACGTTTGAGACACGTAATCTTGTTGCGCCATCGGTCGTTGTTGCTCCTTATTCTTGTCATTTTGAATATCATTTATTATCATGTATGTTATTTGACCGTTCTCCTGTTCTAATTGCTGGCTTGTTAATCCTTTGGTGTTGTGGTGAAGTATTACGCTCTGTTGATCTGGGATAGAATTTGAATTGATTGTGTTACTCATCCAAGATTTTGGATTCGGAGATAAACGTATCACGCTTGTTGCTGGGTGTACTGGACGTACTAATTCTGGCCTATTAACAATTATAAATATTTATATAAAACAACAATTTAAGTATATATGAAACTTGTAGAACATATATAATATTCACGTTATTTCCTAGTAAAGACTTACCTAATAACTGGATTATAAGTGGGAATATTATAATTATACCCTGGACTTGGGGAGCTTCGTTTAGGTAATTGAGAGGGTGCTGTAATCGGCATAAAAAGATTTTGTTTCGGGCCAACTGGAACTGGTGATTGCATCGATGATGGCGAAGAACCGTGGGGGTTAGGCGAGAAAGCTGGTGTATCGGACCGAGAACCTCCTAAAGATACTAACGAAGATATCAGTGTTAACAAAAAAAAAATACGAATCTCGAAAAGCTTACCGAGCATGTTGGCCGCATCTTTTTCTTCTTGATCAAACCGCCCTGTTATTCGCCTATCATTACAATTGGGGGAGGTCTCGGAATCCCTGGAAGTTTCTTCACCGTCCACTTTACTATTTGACCGTGAAAACGATGAATCCATACGCAAACTATTCCCTTTCAAACTCAAATGTCTTGAGCAATAACCGCGTCGCTGGGACTCCTTTTGACAGCCATCTTTTGAACACAACCTCCTCCACTGCTTTCCATTAAATTTTTTACGTACTCCGTTAGGATTTGATACGACGTCCCCTTTTTTGTACTTATGAGGGGTCGCGGTTTGGCTCCTAGGGGTTGTGGGTTGAGATCTAGGTGTGACACTACTAGAAGAACTGCCGCGACTTTGCATACTACTCCGTTTACTGCTTCCGGAAAGTTTTAAATCACTGTCATTCGAAAACATCACTTCCCGCCTTAATTCGTCATCGCTCTCACACAAATCCTCGTAATGTTTTCCGTTTAATTGCGACCCGCACATCGAGGGCATGTGAGATAGCGGAGATACTTGAGGAAAATACTCGGGTTGTAGAGGCGGCTGTTGAGGCTGCTGCAAGCTCATATCATAAACTCGCGATGGCGATTTCAAATTCTCCAGTTCATCATACCATGGCGGCCTCAACAGACGCAAATCTGCCCGTTTCACCGTTATCTCGCACTGCTGATCCCCGAGAACGGCTACTCGAAATTGTACCGAGTGCGTTTCTTCTAGAATCTTACAAACGACACCCTCCACAAACAACGCTTGTTGATCGGGGTGTCTTACACAGACTCGAGTACCTAACGTTAGTTGCGATTTTGACGGGGCCGCATCACTTATTATGTTATAATTTTCTGCAGAGAGGACGTGCGTAAATTTTAGTGTTCTCTCTTCTTTACCATCTAATTCAACTATAATCTACAAAAAGATCAATTAAGAAAGATCATTAAGAAAATATGACCTGGACTATGAAACACAGATTTAGGTGTCAAGAGGTCGACCGTTTTTAATTTGGTTTCCACCCAACACAAAAGGGCACAAAAATTTATCGTTTATGTATTAATTTTTAATCATAATACAACTTAGCCCATTATAAATATTTAAATCAAGTATTTAGATGTCGGTTTCAAAACAACAACATAAAGTGTAAACATTACAAAAAAGTTTACTATCAATGTTTACGTATGAATACTGGTTTTGTAAATACTGATATTGACTGAGAAGTTTTAATACATTGACAGATGTTGTTGTTTGTGTAGATTACCATTAAAAGAAATGTTAAATTTATTTTCTTTTAACAACAAAATAACCAAACGAGTGTTAGATTGTATAAAGAAACGATATTAATTCTTTTTTTAGATTGATTGAATGTTATTGGGACACTTATATACATATCAGAGATACTTTGTTACCTTTGTATGTTGAACAAAATTCCTTTATGAACGATCACCTTTATTTAAAATGATCACATTAATCTCACAGTATTTAACTCTTTAATGGTTATTACCTTTATGGATCGTTTATGAAAAATGAGCAAAAACGCGGTCATACCGCGAATATAAAAGAGTATCGGTCACCAACTGGCGTAGTGCAAGATAATTTTTGGGCTTATACAACAACAAACATTATCATAAAAGTTTTAGGGTCATCTTTATCAGGCATTCAATGTTATAAAAAAAATAAGTGCAAATTTGAGGGTATCACCACGTCTTTATCTTTTATTAGGAAGCTTTTTATTTTAATAATAAGCTTCCAAATGTTATCACTTCATACTTTCTTGCAAAAATTTTTCAATACCTTTACAGGATGATAAATATTTGAACATTTTTGGCAGGGGACCTTTGCGTATTATGCGCCAAAAAAAGAAATTTGTGCGTCGCCCCCGAAGATGAAATACGTTAAAAACGTTCTGGCAGTGAATGTGTTAACATTATATGTGTTAACAGTATATAGTCTTTATAGTAAACGATTGTTTCTCAAAACCAATATTATTCAATAAAATAAAAGAAAAACGGTATAATACAGCATTTAAAATTAATATTTTGTTTCTTGTCCGCGTTTTTTTAACACTGCTGCGCATTGACGAGGCCTTTCCACCAAGCAAATTCGACTGCTCGCCATAAAACCTTTTTATTTAAGTAACGTTGATTAAGCTGCCCTGGAAGTGTGTTTGGGGTCGTCATCTTGCTGAAACTTCCACCGCAGAGGTATATTGTCATCAGTGCTGGGAAACATGGTATTTTCCAATATGTTAATATAGCTGGTGTATCTAGGATTAAAATCTTTTCTTGGCGGACGCCTTACGAAGCCTGTAAGTGTATCTGATGCGAATGAATTTATTTTAGTTTCGTCATTTTTTTGATGGCTAGTCTTCCATGGTCGCGTACAAATTGTAACCTTCTTTTTTGATAATAATGAAATGTTCGTGGGATCCTAGCAGGAGTTCTTCTCTAAAAGTCGTCTTAATAATAGTCGATATTCAATTTTAGGCGAACAATTCCTCCATCTTATCGCGCCATTTTAATGCGTTGATTATCACATTTTGAGATCAGCCAATTATTTAGGGTATTTCACAATATGTTTTGCCCTCTTTACGCAGTTTTACAATAATTTCTGTTAACTCCTCGCTACAATGTTTCGCTTTTCCCATTATATCGCTAAATGCTGCATGCTATCGTTAGTAACTTACACGTAAATTATAAAAACTTTCAGAAATTAAAACCTACATTAAATTTTAACTTTTAAAAATATCACACCTATTTTTTTGCACAACTCAAATTTGACAGTTCTTTATTAATTTTATCTTTCAAACTCAAAAGAGGCAATTAGGCAATCATGTTTGGCTACTTTTAAGAAAGGTTGCGCAAAAAATTAATTTTTAATAATATATTACAGTGACTGCTCTATATAAGCAACCTCTCTAAAAGCAACTTTTTAATTCCAAAACTTCTGTATAAACAACTTGTTTTTTTTAATGAAACAACCAGAACGTGGGATATTACCATTACACCTTAAACGACAGAAAGGAAAAATTAGCAGCGCCGGGACCCAGGTCGTCCGTTTGCCGGACGGTTGCACTGACCTCTATGCTACGCCACAAGGTGTAGGGAAATTATCAGACAAGGATTCCTTTCAACCTGTACATTTCTGGACCGAATTAATGTCATTCACATGCACAATTAAAGGACCAACGTCACAAGGTTTAATTCCGGGAAAGGCCGGTAGAGCCGAATTAATAAATATTATTCGGAATTTGATATTAACGTGTGTAACATATACATGAAACAATCAGAAGGTGGGATATTACCATTACACGCCAAAGGACAGGAATAACAGAAAGGAAAAATTAGCAGCACCGGGACCGAAAAAATATTTATCGACTCGTTCGTGATAGAGCATGATCTTCGTCAATATGCAACCCAAACCAACCGAACTTAACCCACCCCAAGTATCGCGAACAATACTTAGGAGACGAGATTATTTCTGTTGATATAGGAAATAATCTCGGCTGACTCTTCGAAGTCGGCCCAGTTTGTTTCCCTTAACTTTATCTTAATCAGCTTGCAATTTATGGAAGAAGTAACCTCGGCCGACTTCGAAGACGTCGGCCGCCCCAAGTATTCTTCTTGATATAAGAAATAATCTCGGCCGACTTCGAAGACGTCGGCCGCACTAAGTATTGTTCTTGATACTTAGGTTAGGTTGCAGGCGATGATCATGCTCCATCGCGAACCATACTTATGGCGGCCGACGTCTTCGAAGTCGGCCGAGATTATTTCTTTCATAAATTTCCAGCGTAATAATTGTCTTGACGTC